AATTGGACACCTTAGTACAAATAACTGTGGTGCAAATGTACTGAAGCTTAAGTTGGCAGCATGGCATCAATTTGCTTGTTTAATTCATAAGCATTTTCTTTTAAAGACCAAGGACCAGTACCCCAGGCATCCCAGAACAGTGTTCAGCATGCCTGAGGAGAGGAAAGGACATAACCTTCAGAACTTACAAAGAGCCTAATTTCTCTCTCACTTACGTTGGTGTACATCAAGGGTAACTCCAATGAAGTCAACAGAGTTACACTATGTAAATACATTGGGTGCAATAACAGGATCAGGCCCCACTTAACCGGCTGTTATATCAAATATATTGGAAATTTCCAAGAGAGCTCACTACTCAGACTTAACTTGGACTTAATTTGGAGTGAGCTCACAAACCATGTCTGGAATTCTATGTCCATTCCTCCTTTGTAACTGAGCTGCCATTGTCTGACACGGGGCTACCTTTCCTCAGGGTGCATGCAGATTACATTACTTTGTTCCCCATGTGATCTCAATGCGTTTTCTAGACTGCAAGCTGAAAAATAAGCTGTTGTTTTGGCAAATACAAGTGCCTGAGAATTTTATCTTCCTTTCTTCAGTTTTTCAGGTGTTTTTATGTGGCATGTAAGTATCAACAGGTGTGGTGAAGTGTGAAGATACATGTGGCAAAGAAGCAATTGCTTTCATAATTCTCTGTTCCTTGCAGAGAGAAGCTGCTCTTGGTGTTACTTAGGGCATGTTGACACTTAAAACACTACAGTGCATCAGTGTAAACACTGCATATGGTGATGAGAGGGATTCTCCCATCAGCATAAGTAATCAACCTCCTCCAGAGGCTGTAGCTAGCTCAATGGAAGAATTCTTCTGTTGACCTACTGCTGTCTGCATTGGGTGTTAAGTTGGCTTAACCATTACTCAGGGATGTGGGTTTTTCACACTGCTGAGCAATGCAATTAAACTGACTTAATTTTCTAGTGTAGAGCAGGCCTTAGGCTGTACATCTAACTGCATGGTGGCTTAGTCAAACAGGCAGAGCAACTTGTGAGCAAGCACAGTGCCACCAGTGCAGACGTAGATAAATATAGGGAGTTAGAACACTATCGATGAACATCTAGTTTGCTGACTATGGAGACTCTCTCAACAGACAGAACTAACAGTCCCAAACATGGGCCACTCAGATTACGTGATCTCTGTATTGTTTTTGTAGTTGTATTTGGGAATTAGAGAGAGGAGAGGAAAAACAAAGAAACTTGGTTCCCCATTGATGCAGCATCACACTGTCCGTGCCTAACAACTAGTCCCTCCCCTACCCCCGATGCAGAACCTACAACTTTTGGAACTGACTTCTGTAGCTTATGCACTCATCTAAGCAGTATCCCATCTCTGTAGCAGTCCAAGGTTTCGCAGACCACTCATGTAGGTCACAAGCTTGGACACTCAGATAAAGTAGCAAACTCTGCAGCAGACAATCAGATGAAAAATAGAAAGGAACATATGTTTCCCACTCCCAAAGATGGGCAGGATCTTAACTTCGCCCTTAGTTGGCAGCTGAATAGCACATAGCCGCCAAGTTGTTCATCAGGATCTCAACTACTGTACCTGACGTAAAATCTGCAGGACAAAAGTTACTCCAGCCAAACCTATAAATAAACAAATATTTTCACAAGTGATTAGTGGTTTTGCGTGCCTCAGTTTCTGAGTGATCAATTTGAGAAACCTTAAATGGGCATGATTTTCATAAGGTGCTGAGCATCTGAAATTGGGACCTGTTGTGTCTCAGTTTGGGCACTCAAAAATGTAGATACTCAAATCTTTTTAATGTAGTGACCACCCCAGAAATGTCTAACTAACTAACTAAATATCTATGCCAAAATTATAGAGGATGAAAGTTGTAAGATGTGAACTCCTCAATAGTCATTGTTGCAGTGGTTCCATCCTTTCAGGGAATGCGTTAACATCAGGTGAACTACCCTCACACTTCAAGCAATGGACCCTTCAAGCCAGGAGTTCAGACACATTAGTAGCATGGAGAAACTCACAACTTCACTACTGCTGTATCTGATTATTTTTTTTATAAACAGATAACGTCATTCTTGGGCAACATAATTCATTTAAAAAATGTTTGAAAGAAAACTGAAAAAATACAAACAATAAACCAAGAGGAGAGCCATTTTATCTCAAAACACACGATAGTGTTCAATTTATCAGCTGTTCTGCATTTGCTCCACAGTTTAGTTAATTTGTGCACAGTTCTTACAGTTCTCTTAAATAATGAATCTGTAAGGCACCGGGCTTGCTGCCAATTAGCTTTTAACTCCAGCTCACATTTTCTGGATAGATTAGATATTAAACCTGTTTCACGGAAGACACAACATCCTTCACATTGCATCACTAAATGAACATCTGTTGCTATAGTGCCTTGGCGTTATTTCCTAGACAACCACAGAAGTGCCAGCAGCGCTCGCTCCCACCATCTAGTCCAGTTAATTTTCAACATATGTTTTTAAAAGAAGCTGGCAAATAAAGAGCAATGCTAGCAGAGTTCAAAATTTCCCTAAGAACCCAGTTCTGCAAAGCACCAAATGTCCCCTGTGAAGTTCTGACCGCAGGACATGGGGGGTGCTCGGCATCTTGCAAGATTGGCACAGACAGATGAAAGAGGGAACACCACTAAACTATCAACATTTTTCTGATTTGGTTCAGGCTATTTTCATAAACACACAAGTAAATGATCCTTCCTAAACCTTGTACTTCACAGCTGTTCCAGTTGTGGCATGTTTCATAGAAAGTTAAACTGAATCAAAGTAAACTGTAAAGTTTGTTGTATTGGATCAATCTTAATAAACTTTAAATAAAAAATGAATAAAAAATTATAATGGGCATACTGCATTATCTCAGAATCCCATTATCTGTATGATTAAATATGTAATTTATTTTAATGGCTTTAGTTTTGTCTTTTATTTATTATTGGGAACTATACTCATTTCCCCCCCTTTCCTTCAGATGATGCATTATAATTCATTAAATAAATGCCTCTGCAGCTATCCTATATACTGTACGGTATAACCAGAGATGGTCCATTACTCCCAAACCCAGATCCTGAACCACATTTTGAGGATGGTCTCTATTTCTTAAAGGGCCAAAACAAAAATTCCAAATCCAAATATCCTCAGACTGCAAAGAGTTAAAGATCCACATCTGGATTTTGTGGCTTGGTCCCTACTCTAGCTACTACACAGCCATGCTTCTGTCATGATCTTAGCATGGTCAGTAACATATTATGAACAGGGATCCTAGTTTTCTATGTTAGAAAAGCCAAAAGTCTCTGATAAAAAAAACCCATAATCATCCACATTTTTCCAGGATTAAAATGAAACACTGAACTTTAGTTTCCCTAGCCACAATATATATAGGTATCAGTTGAACTAGAGTGACCATACATCCTGTTTTGGCTGAGACAGTCCCATTTTTAAGCCCTGTCCCGGACATCCTGATTTTTTTGGCAAAACTGGGCATTTGTCCTATTTGCTCTTGCTAACGGATGATTTTCAGATGGCAAGAGCAAACGGGACAAATGCCCAGTTTTGGTAAAAAAGTGAGACACCTCCCGCCTCCCCCGAGGGGGGTGCAGAGGAAATGTGAGCAGCGACGCCAGGCACTCGGGCTCAGGCAGTCCCACGCAGTGTCCCATTTTCACTTTGGGAAATACGGTCATCCTGACTTCAGTAAAATTTAGTTAATAGTTAATATATGTTTTTATTTTTTCACAAAATGTAAAACCGAAAGATTCTCTGTAAAAACGCAAATTCCACGTTTTTTCATGGCAAGTGGATTTCTAAGGTCCCTGATTATGGCCCACCTAGCAACAGCTTTCAGAACTGGTCTTCTTCCATGTTTTTAAAAATAGGCTGATGTATCAAAATAGTTACATAAAAGAGAGTGCAAATATTTGTGGGAATATCTTTCTCTTTAATGTTGGGAACAGAAAATAGAACACAAATACTGTTGTTAATCGTACTACAGACTATTCATCTTCAAGTTTACGAGTGGCTCTATTTGCAAGACTGTGCAGGGTACACCATCGCTTAAGATGGTGTAGCCTGCTCCACCAGTGCAGCTGACTTGCTCCTCAGCCCAGCACAGAGGGGAGGTGGTGGAGCTCTGGGTCAGGCTCTACCCCTGTCCCTTGACAGCCTCTTTGAAGCACTGTGCACCCACTGGGCTGTTCAGGGACTGCCACTGTTGTAGCCCCTTTTGCAGGCCATGCAAGAGGAGAAGGTCCTTGTGCACTCCCATCCCCCTGCAAGCCTATGTAAAGGCCTGTCACAATCTCAGTCCGGGGAAGTAAAATGCAATTCAGGAAGTCTCCAGAAAGGGAGCAAAAGAATGACACGTTGGAGAGAGGCAAACCCATCGGAGGTTTTGTAAAATGTCTGTATTAGTGAAGCAGGAAGCACATATGGATTCTATAAAAGAGTTGGTGCAGGAATGTACTGGGGTGCTGAGAGGACATGCTGGAAAGTACTGAATGTCTGGGGGCGGAGGAGGAGAGTTGTATGGGGAACATTAGAGGTCCTACAGGGATCTCATTATGGGGATCTCTCCAAGTTGGGTGGGAGCAGACAGGGAGTCTCTAGATGGGTGCAGGATCCTCTCAAGTCCAAAGCTGGAAATGGAAGAAGCTGCACAGCTCTGGGGAAAAAGCTACTTTACATATCACTTGTTGATAATCTGACAATAAATCCAGAGCAGACCTGGGCATTGACAAGGTTATGCAGGTCGACTTGTCCACACTGCACCTGCCTCTTAAACCTGGCATTTACTAATAGCAGCTGATGTTTTGCCAAGTGATGCTGCACAATGAGGCCCTAAAAGCACTATCCTTGTTATTTTTATTTTTTTAAAATAACGTGGCCCTTTTGAGAGGAAAGCCAATTATTTTTATTATGTTGCTCCACCCCAGTACTCTGTGGCAAAGACTCTGCACGAAGTCAAAACCCAGTTAATCATCTGCAGTTCTAATCTGAGATTTATTTAAACTGGATGCTAAAGTCTCCCTGGGAGCTACCTGGGATTTATAAGCAGTTCTCTCCCCCCAACAGTTATAGAGTAGCCAATGGCTAGATGTATCAAGGTAGGACCCTATAGGACAGGGGTCGGCAACCTTTCAGAAGTGGTGTGCCGAGTCTTCATTTATTCACTCTAATTTAAGGTTTCGCGTGCCAGTAATACATTTTAACGTTTTTAGAAGGTCTCTTTCTAGAAGTCTATAATCTATAACTAAACTATTGTTGTATGTAAAGTAAATAAGGTTTTTAAAATGTTT